TCTCGGTTCTACCCATCCCCTCAACTTTCCTAGTTCCATTTCTACCTAGATACAGTGCTCCCACCGGTCCTCTCTACCTCCCGCCCCCCACCTCCCCACCCCCCATTCCCTCACGCTCCAGCTTCCTGTAAATTAGTTGTTCAAAGGACTTACACCAGTCCAGGATATTTAATTCAACTCTCTAGTGAGTAGAAGTTTAGTCTGTGGATCCATATCTTCAGAATTTATGGAAACCTGCGTTATGAGCTAAAAATGGTTAACTTTTGCTTTATTCTCTGAGGGTTTTAGGTGAATGCATACCTTCTCATTGTCAGGTGCAGAGTTTGATAAAACCTATCATATTCTGTGCTGTTCATGTTTTCTGCATCTTTGCTTCTATGGACAGTAATTGGGAGGAGTTGAGCTCTCTAGCTTTTTCCTGGGACCTCTCCCCACACCGGCTCTCCCCGCAGTCCATACATACGTGTAGTTCTATATCCTTGGGTGACCTTTCCCCACACCGGCTCTCCCTGTAGTCCACACATACATGTGGTCCCGTGTTCCTGGGTGACCTCTCCCCACACCGGCTCTCCCCGCAGTCCACACAAACATGTGGTCCCGTGTTCCTGGGTGACCTCTCCTCACACCGGCTCTCCCCACAGTCCACATGCATGTGGTCCCGTGTTCCTGGGTGACCTCTCCCCACACCGGCTCTCCCCGCAGTCCATACATACGTGTAGTTCTATATCCTTGGGTGACCTCTCCCCACACCGGCTCTCCCCGCAGTCCACACAAACGTGTGGTCCCGTGTTCCTGGGTGACCTCTCCCCACACCGGCTCTCCCCGCAGTCCACACAAACGTGTGGTCCCGTGTTCCTGGGTGACCTCTCCCCACACCGGCTCTCCCCACAGTCCACATGCATGTGGTCCCGTGTTCCTGGGTGACCTCTCCCCACACCGGCTCTCCCTGTAGTCCACACATACATGTGGTCCCGTGTTCCTGGGTGACCTCTCCCCACACCGGCTCTCCCCACAGTCCACATGCATGTGGTCCCGTGTTCCTGGGTGACCTCTCCCCACACCGGCTCTCCCCGCAGTCCACACAAATGTGTGGTCCCGTGTTCCTGGGTGACCTCTCCCCACACCGGCTCTCCCCACAGTCCACATGCGTGTGGTCCCGTGTTCCTGGGTGACCTCTCCCCACACCGGCTCTCCCCGCAGTCCACACAAATGTGTGGTCCCGTGTTCCTGGGTGACCTCTCCCCACACCGGCTCTCCCCACAGTCCACATGTGTGTGGTCCCGTGTTCCAGGGTGACCTCTCCCCACACCGGCTCTCCCCACAGTCCACATGCGTGTGGTCCCGTGTTCCAGGGTGACCTCTCCCCACACCGACTCTCCCCACAGTCCACATGCGTGCGGTCCCGTGTTCCAGGGTGACCTCTCCCCACACCGACTCTCCCCACAGTCCACATGCGTGCGGTCCCATGTTCCTGGGTGACCTCTCCCCACACCGGCTCTCCCCACAGTCCACATGCGTGTGGTCCCGTGTTCCAGGGTGACCTCTCCCCACACCGACTCTCCCCACAGTCCACATGCGTGTGGTCCCGTGTTCCAGGGTGACCTCTCCCCACACCGACTCTCCCCACAGTCCACATGCGTGCGGTCCCGTGTTCCTGGGTGACCTCTCCCCACACCGGCTCTCCCCACAGTCCACATGCGTGTGGTCCCGTGTTCCTGGGTGACCTCTCCCCACACCGGCTCTCCACACAGTCCACACGAGCGTGGTTTGCTGTCCTTTCCTGTGTGCTCCAGGGACAGCACAGTTTCTTTCTCTTACATGGGGGAAGAGGCACCTCAGATGTCAGGGCACAGAAATGACTGTTCCTATCTCTTTAGCCAGATTTATAAGGAAAAGACTGGTCGTGTTAGCTTTTGGCATAAAGGTCAAAGAAAAGTTTGTGTGACGCAGAGGCTTCTTTTTGTGAATTTTTACTTTGGACAGCATGGGTTTAAATTGTTTCTTGAGGAGAGCCACCCCGTAGTTTGCAGGGAGTGGGACTAGGTGGAGTCACCAAGTTCAGATGCCTTCTGTTTTTTCTACTAAGTAGTACTTGACGTAGGTTAACTGCCAGATTATCACTAGTGAAGAGGGAACCTGCCCTGATACCCGAAAGGCAGAGAGGTCAGCTGGCTGAGCTCTACATTCTGATTGTTTTTCTCATGTCTTGTGGTGTAGCCCACATGCTTACTCAAAACCCAGGTGACAGAGCTGCTTTGCACACACGCATGAGTATGAGAGAGCGGATGTTTGTGTGTGTGTGTGTGTGTGTGTGTGAGAGAGAGAGAGAGAGAGATTCACAGCTGCGTATGCCTGGAGGAATGTGCCATCCTATGGAGCTGATCCACAGTGGACCTGCTCAGCCGGAGCATGGCACCTCTGCTCCTGTTGTTTCTAGTGGACGCAGAGCGACAAGCAGAGAGCGGTGTGCCTTGTGTGTCTTCTGCCTGTCTTGACTGAGCTTTCCCTCTGAGAAAGGAAGGCCAGTCCACAGGCCTCCTGTGCACTGGTGATGGTGGAGCAACTTCTAGGTTTTGGTCCCTGGGCATTCCTTGTCAGTCTATGACCATTTCCCTGTAGGTGTTCCTGGCGTGATATAAATTGCAAAGGCATATCTTTTGGCTGCTTCTCTCTCTCCTGCCTGAAGTACTTCTGTCTAGTCCTCAGTCTTTGGCCTTCATCGGACCATGTCCGTCTTTGTGTCTCTTACGCAGAGCAGAGTTCATATTGAGCCAGTCTGAATCTTTTATAGGTGGTAAGGTTCACTCATGTGTTGATGTAGCTGATTTTTTTTTACATAAACGATTTATTTTTCAACCTTCTGCCAAGACATCAAAGCTTTGTCTCAACTGTCAAAACTTATTCCTGTACTTGTAGTGTGTGGTACCTTTTGTTTATGATCTTCTTTTTTACTGTAGTTTGTCACCTTTGTTTTTTTTCTCTTCCTAATCCTTTTAACATTTAGGAGGGTTTATGTTTTTGTTCATAGGTACCTTCATACATATGCCTCTTGACATTTGTAGGAAATTGTTGTCAGAACCCAATGTGGATTCTGTGTAGATACTCATGTCCCTTATTGAAACGAACTATCATTTGCATAGAACCTGCAGACATCACTCCATATACTGGACAGCGTCTTTAGATGACCTAAGGTAATGTCAATGCCAAATGAATGTCTTAAGGAATATGGACAGTATAAAATGCCTGTATATGTTAAGTTTAGATGCAGTCCACCTTTTTTGTGTTTTAGTATTTTTAATCCACGGCTAGTTGAATCCACAGATTCAAAACAGGCAGACTCAGATGCTGACGTAATCTCTTTCATAAAGCCATAGTCTCTATTATTCTTCCTTTGACCTCTTTTTGGTCTGTCAGCTTTGAATGGTGTTCTTGTCTTCCAACTTGCCTGCTCCAGTCGGTGAACTTAACTCCACTTTTCCTGTTTCCCGGTTCACCTCTGTCTTACTCATTTATTGTATTTACTACTTCACAACAAAAAATAATTTCCATACTTCACCTTCAACGTTGCTCTTATTTTTGTTTTAGTCTTTGATCAGCAAACACTCCTTTATTTTTGTCTACACTAAATTTCCCAATTGATTTGAAATTGTCTTGAAAACACCACTTTGATTGAATTCTTGGATATTTAAGATTCTAATCTTGAGTGATTGGCAGAAGACCGTGCGTCACAGTTCATTTCTGCTAGGGTTTGTAAGGTGCTGTGTGCACTGTGCGGTGCCGAGGTCCAATGCTGTCTGACTTCTTCCCCATGCAGAGGGAGTTGGTACTCTCACCTGAAATCCGGGGCATCTTCTGTGCCTTACAGGCCACCATCCTGGCACAGATACATGAGAACTGCCTCAGTTCAGAGTCATTTTTTTCCTAATAACATTTCTAAGGGTTTAACTTTCAGTACAAGTTCTGCCTTACACTTTTGCTGTTCTTTTCAAGGAGTGCCAATGTCTTGGATCTATTTTAGCTTCTGTTCTGTATCTGTTAGATTTCCTCTGATCATTTTTATCTTTCTGTCTCTTTTTCTCCTGTGTTTTGCAGGCTTCCTTTATACATTCAATTTTGTTTATTCTCCTTTGGCCCCTTATAATAGTATTTCCAGGTTGATTTTACCTTTCTCTTTGATTTCTTTTCTACTTCATTCCACAGCTTCCTATCTTGGCCTATCTTAATGGTCTATTTGCATTCATCAGACTTAGTTCTGCATTTCTGGAGTCTTATATTTGCACTGTTAATGGTTTTAGCATGCTATGGAATGCTATAGAACCTCACATTGTAGATGGGAAGTAATTTCATCAGCTGAAAAGATTTGTGTTTCCTCTTGCCTCTCACAAGTCCCGAAGGACTCTACTGGTGTTTGTGTGTGTGTGTGGTGCGCGCACCTACCCACACCCACACCCACACCCTGTGGCTTGAATTAAGGGCCTTGCACTCAGCTTTTTCTTCTCAAGACTGGAGCTTCATCACGTGAGCCACATCTCCACTTCCAGCTTTTTGCTGATTAATTGGAAATAAGCATCTCTTGGATTTTTCTGCCATGGGCTGGCTTTGAACCATGGTCCCTAGCCTCCTGAGTAGTTAGGATTACAAGCATGAGCCAGCAGTACTTGGCTGGGCTTCAAGAGGCTAGCAATGTACTTAAGTTAATGTGCAGTTCAGGAAATGGCATTTTGAAATGAATACATAGACAGATACATAGACTAGCTACTACCAACAGAATGTTGATACGGGTTTGGCAGCCCCGTGGTGGCCTGCCCCACGCCTCATTGCCTTCACGGACGTCCCAAGGTCAGCTCTGCCGGTGCACACCTCTCCACATGGGCTTTGGACTTAAATGCTTCAGAAATGTTTACTTCCCTGTTGAATGCAGGAAACAATGCTGTGTGACCCCGTTCTGATGGCTAGGTCATGCGCTGGGAGCTCATGTGTCCTGTGTTCCTTTGTTTCAGGTAGGTGGGCTCCAGACAAGCCCAGATTGCTGCAGATCCTCGGTTCTGGTGATGACGCTCTGAGCCACTGTGCATCTTAGCACTCACATTTATGGACCTGGCCTGAACTGCAGAGCCTGCCTATGGGGGAAGGTGAGTTCTGTGTGTGTGCGCCCTTGCTCAGATACAGCCACAGAGCCACTCTCATCCTGGGGGAGTGTGTGTGTTGGAAATGCCCTGATCCTGAGGCCCACCCTCCTGAGGTTCTGCTGTACATGACTTTGGGGAAGCGGGCACGCCTGGCCCCAACATCCATGGCCGGTTGTGGTTGCATGCCCTAGGCCCAGTCCACTGGCCACCCTCACAGGCTTGTCCCTCTCCTGGAGCCAGCCCAGGGGCCAGGAGCAAAGCCGAGTTCTCGGAATGAGGAGCAGAGGCTGAGCTCGGGTGCTGGCGGCCATCGTGGGGTCTCTGCAAAGAGCAGGTCCTGCAGAGCAGCAGCAGAGACGGTGCGCTGGTGACGTTTGAAGCCAGCGGTACTTGCAGGGACAGAACTAGGGGGAGCTGTCTGAGGAGCTCTGTGCCCGGAGGCCGCAGTGCTGAACCGCCAGCACTCCGTGTCTGCAATATGTCTCACGTGAGGGCGAGCCCTCTGCACACTGAGCACATGAAGGCCACAGCGTGTTTGTGAGCGTATCTCCACCCTGAGGTGTGTGGAGGCTGCAGTGTGTTTGTGAGCATGTCTCCACCCACAAGGCGTGTGAAGGCCACAGCGTGTTTGTGAGCATGTCTCCACCCTGAGGCGTGTGGAGGCTGCAGTGTGTTTGTGAGCGTGTCTCCACCCACGAGGCATGTGGAGGCTGCAGTGTATTTGTGAGCATGTCTCCACCCACAAGGCGTGTGAAGGCCACAGCGTGTTTGTGAGCATGTCTCCACCCTGAGGCGTGTGGAGGCTGCAGCGTGTTTGTGAGCGTGTCTCCACCCTGAGGCGTGTGGAGGCTGCAGTGTGTTTGTGAGCATGTCTCCACCCTGAGGTGTGTGGAGGCTGCAGTGTGTTTGTGAGCATGTCTCCACCCACAAGGCGTGTGAAGGCCACAGCGTGTTTGTGAGCGTGTCTCCACCCTGAGGCGTGTGGAGGCCGCAGTGTGTTTGTGAGCATGTCTCCACCCTGAGGCGTGTGGAGGCCGCAGTGTGTTTGTGAGCATGTCTCCACCCTGAGGCGTGTGAAGGCCACAGCGTGTTTGTGAGCGTGTCTCCACCCATGAGGCTGTGGTGCTGAAGTCATAGCAGAGCAGTAACTCATATCATGATGTGCCATTTTAAAAGAATACCTCTGCATTGAGAACCATGGTCCCTAGCCTCCTGAGTAGTTAGGATTACAAGCATGAGCCAGCAGTACTTGGCTGGGCTTCAAGAGGCTAGCAATGTACTTAAGTTAATGTGCAGTTCAGGAAATGGCATTTTGAAATGAATACATAGACAGATACATAGACTAGCTACTACCAACAGAATGTTGATACGGGTTTGGCAGCCCCGTGGTGGCCTGCCCCACGCCTCATTGCCTTCACGGACGTCCCAAGGTCAGCTCTGCTGGTGCACAGAGTCAAAGATAAGCCAAGGAATGTTAGATCTGAATGATCATGAAATAGCTCTTGTCTAAATTAATGTGACACAGTTAAAGCTATGCTTACAATATTTGTAATCATAAATATGTGTGCTAAGAAACAGGAAAAATAAAAAAAAATGCCAAAATAAACCAATCCAAAATGGGGCAAGAGAACAAACCCAAGGATCCAAAGAGGCGCAGGAGAAAATCATAAAAAGGGAGTAGAGGATGGCTTGCGTGGCAGAGGGCTTGCCTCAGACACAGGAGGCCTTGGGCTCGTGCCCCAGAGTAATGACAACACAGCGAGAGAAAGAACACAGGGACACTCACAGAGCCAAAGACCTGCTCACTTGCTCGTTTGTTTAAGAGTAATTAGACCTCTGGAAAGGTGGGTTAAAGAAAATGAAGGGTGACAGCCCAAGGCACAAGAAAGGAAGATATAATTATAGATACCATTGAGAAGATCATGGATAATGTAAGCTAATATGTTTGAAATCTTACATAAAACTGATAACTTCCCAGGAAACTGAAGCACCAAAACAGAATAAAGAAGAATAGAGAGCCTGAGAGCAAAAGACAGGAAAGGTCGAGGTGTCACCGCAGCTGGAACGTTATAGAGCAGGTGTGTCAGGGTCTGCAAGAAGCATGCTGTTAAATACCCAAGTCAACACATGCATAGAAAACCAAATATTTGTATTTTACAAGAATACAGCAATGAGCCGGGTGCTGGTGGCTCATGCTTGTAATTCTAGCTACTCAGGAGGCTGAGATCTGAGGATTGTGGTTCAAAGCCAGCCTGGGCAGGAAAGTCTGTGAGACTCTTATCTCCAGTTAACCACCAGGAAAAAAACCAGAAGTGGTTCCGTAGCTCAAGTGGTAGAGCACTAGCCTTGAGCTGAAGAGCTGAGGGACAGCGCCTAGGCCCAGAGTTCAAGCCCCATGACCAACAACAACAACAAAAAGAATACAACAATGAAAATCAATCACTAGGCCAACCACTATGACTTGTGCCTGTAATCCCAGCTACTCAAGAGGCAGAGATCTGGAAGAGTGCAGTTTGAGGCCAGCCAGGCAGAGTAAGAAGCCCCTCCATTTCAACTGATAAAAGCTGTGCGTGGTACTGTGTGCCTGTCTTCTGAGCTCTGTGGGAGGTGCAGGTAGGAGGATTGCAATTCAGGCCTGCCCAAGTGAAAATGTGAGATCCTATTTTAAAAAAGTAGTAACAATAGCTGAAAAACAAAAAGGGTTGAAAGTATGGCTTGAGTAGTACAACTCTTGCCTAGCAAGCATGGGGCCCTGACTTCAAACCACAGTATCGCTAAAAACCAAGTCACATATGAACTTGTAGGCAGTTTCTAAGGCTGTGGCGGCTTGATACACTAATGAGCTGGTGAGAAAATAAAAAGTCCTAACAAGGAAAAAAGGAAAATGGTAAGAAAGGAGTACTTGTTACTGGAAGGTCTTCCAGAAAGAATGGAGGCGGAGGAGGTGTAAACCGAATATGAGTGGCACAGCACATGCACTCTGTGCATGAGGGCAAGAAGAAAAGAAATTTTAAAACACTCAGTGAACAGACAAATCCTTTTGAAGTTGGAACAAGCTATTTGTTTTACAGCCCAGTCAATGGAGGTCCATAGAGGCTGTGTAGTGTGTTAATACAAGGACTTGGAAAGCTCAAACAGGCTTCTTCTTTCCTGTCCTCTGCAGGTGCAGACTACCACAAACCTTTGTCAGCCTTTGACTGTGGTAAAATAGATGTGACTTAGATTTTCACATCTTAAGCATTTTGAATGCAGCTCAGCGGCATAAAGGACGTTCACTGCCTTGTGCAGCCTGCACCTCCGTCCATCTCCACACCTGTTTCACCTTATAAAACTGGAACTGAGCCCCATCAGACAGCTCCAGTGGGTCCACTCCAGGAACCTCATTGCACCGCATGTAGGCGATTATACATTAGCTTTCTTGACTGGCTTATTTCACTTACAAAAATGTTCTCAAGGCTCATTCGTATTGCAGCATAAATAAGAATTTCCTTACTCTTTTACAGTTGAGGATATATTCCCGTTTCACCATAGACTACATTTTGTTTTTCCATTCACCTGGTATTGCTTCTATCTCTTGACTACTGTGAACTATGTTATTATGAGCACGAGTACAAATACGCCTTCAAGACCACCAAAGTAGAATTACTGGATCATATGCACGTCTGTTTTTATTTTTTTTGAAGAATTCCTACGCCATTTTATATTCCTACCAGTGGTGCACAAGGCTTCCAGTTTCTTTTCTCATTGTTAGCAGTGTGTGTTGCTTTTGTTTTTAGACTGTAGACATGATATCTTAGCAGGTTTAAGGCAGTACCTCACTGGGACTTTGCTTTTTATTTACCTGATGATTAATGACTCTGTTTTCTGTTAGTATAATATTTGTGCCTAGATTCTTGATTTTAAAAAAGACACTTACTTAGCTCTGATTCTGGAAATTTAAAGGTCTGGTGCCCAATGTGTGCTTCATGGGGTGAGGCCTCAGGGTGCCTGGCCTGGCATTGGAGCCAGGGGAACCAGAGACAAGTGAGGTCTGTGCTAATCCCTAGTATTCTCTCCACCATCCCTGCTGCCCGCCCCCCACCTGCTTCTCTGAAAGGCCCACCGCCTCCCAACATTGCTACTCTAAGGACCAGCCTTCCACACTTGAACCTTTTGAGGGACAGACCACCAGACCACATCCAAACCAGCATGATGCTGCTCATCTTTTTATTTTTGCTGGCGAAATGTCTTTATCTGGAGAAATGTGTATTCAAGTGCTACCCTCACCCCTTTTGTGCTTTGTTCCTGCCAGGCTGACACTCTACCACTTGAGTCATACCTTTTCGCTGATTGTTTTTAGAGATTAAGTCTAGGGAAGTATTCTTCCTTGCTGGCCTTGAACTGCAATCCTCCCATTCTCAGCCTCTGAGTAGCTAGGAAGACAGGTGTGAGCCACTGACACCAGATTTTTTGCCCCTTTTCCCTTTTTGCCATACTAGGGTTTGAACTCAGGGCCTGTGCTTGCTCACTTAGTTGGCTCTGTACCACTTGAGTCATGCCTCTGACTCTACATTTTGCTTGTTATTTTGGGGGTCAAGTCTCATAGACTTTTCTGCCCTGGCAGGTTTCAAACTGTAGTCCTTTAAATCTCATCATCCTGAATGTGTTAAGATTACAGGCATGAGCTATCAGCATCTAGCCATTTTTTAATTGAGCTTGTTTGTTTCTCCCTTGTTTTATATCATATAATCTGTATCAGCCTCCTACTAGATTATTTACAAATAATTTGCCCTTTCACTTTGTGTCTCCTGAGCCACAGAAATTTTAAACTTTCATGTAGTGTAAATTAGCTGTTTTTACTTTATCATTTGTCCTTTTGGTGCCATAGTCAAGAAATTATTAACAAATCTATTGTCATGAAATTTTTTCTACATTTTTTGAGAGTTTCATAGCCTTAGTTCTTCTGTTCAGGTCTTTGGTTTTAGTTTAGTTTTATCTTTGTACTGAGTAAGAATCTAACTTCG